TGTGACTTCCAAAACAAGTGCTAATTTAAACAAATCTTTCTTGAAGCAGTGGAAATGAAATGGTAATATGTTAATGGATGCTCGAGTGTTTAAGCGTCGATAATGATGAGTCAGGCGGTCTCCAAGTCACCTGGGATGCGCTTACTGACCATACTTCACAATTCACATCATCCCTAGCAAGTGGTCTGCCAAAGCTGACTGTACGTCTGAAATATTTCACCTATAAACTTGGCATTTCCAGGAGAAGCCATGCCAGTGGCCTTGAGCTTACACATTCCTGTCAGGTAGGCTACAGGAGGCAATTTGAACACAAGAACCTGCAATTAAGCAAAAGAATGGCATCGTACACAACACGTTTTTGCGTCCTAATCTGATAACTGCTGACATAAATTATCTCCCAGAGGCAAGAGAAATACTGCGTGACATCAACATTCACATTTCATATTTTGAGAAATAAAAGAAAACAAAGAACATATATCTAAACCGAAATAACAAAGAGCAATTTTATTATCAAATTAGACCCTATTTATAAGACAAAGCTATACTCATTTTTGATATGCAAAGATAGCAAACTTAACTGTTTGGATTCAGTAAATCAGAAAAATAAACATGCATTTTTTTCATCTTCTCAGATAAACAAAACCTATAATTACCTATTCAAAATTCTGAATATGACTTATTCCCAATTCTTTCAAAATATTGTTTGTTTTTCTAAGTTATATCTCCCCTTCCTTGACAGTGTGTTTTCCTTGAGGTTTATTATGTTCTTTTTTTTTACCTTTTTGATGAGGAAATTTACAGATATTACATGACTTTGCTTCACAGCTCTTCATTCACTCATCCACTCAGCCAGCCAGCCAGCCATTCCAGTGTCTCAGATCTGCTATGCATAGGACCAGGCCAGCCCAGGTAGAGTTGTAGAAAAACAGACGTTTTAGAAGGTAAATACCCAGGGGAGGTCAGCACTTGAGGACACAGGACGCACAAAAGCGATACAGGAGCCTGACTCTCACCCACTAAAGTCGGAAGGCGAAATGTTGGCAGAAGGAGCTGCCAGCGTTTGGGGTGTGCTGGTCCAAGGGTGCAGACACTAGCCCTAACCGCATGATGGAAAACTTGCCCTTTTCCCTTTGTCCCACCTTCCCAGTTCCCTATTGCTTCTGCAACCTTAATCCCCTTTGCCACGTTACCAAACACATTTACAAGTTCCAGGAATGAGCACCTGGGCATCCATGGGAGGCCATTAAAGGTGGCTTCCTCCCTGCTCCTTGGGCCTGGGGAGCAGCCCTGGTAACCACCCAGCTCTCCCCTGCTATTGGTTCCGTTCTGTATTCTCTAAATACACCAGCCTATTTTCTTGTAGCTCAGCCAGAGTCATCCTTTGTGACGTGCAGCCACGAGAATCTGATACAGCGCAACTCTTTGGGCTTCCCTGACTGGCCAGTGTTTCCCGTACAGAGCTTTAAAGAGCTCTAAGTACCATTACTACACCAGCACCCCAAGTTTAGCCCACACCTCTTTGCTGGCCTCGAGTCTGGGGTGTACACCTACTAATGACGGGAGTCTCTTGGCCACCTACTATGCATCTCACACCTACATGTGCGAAACAAACCTCAGACACCACCACCAACCCCCACAAACACACAAAACTTGCTTCGCCCAAAACAGTCTCCCCATTTCAGGAAATGGAAACTCCATCCTGTCAGTTGCTCAGGCCAAAATTCTTAGGGTTACCCATGGCTTCCCTCCTCTCATACCCACATCCAGTCCGAGGGAATTCCTCCTGACTCCACTTTCCAATAAACCAGTACCGGACACTTCTCACCACTGCTACCCAGCCATCCTGAATGAGCCACCTGCACTGCTAACTGGCCTCCTGGTTTTGGATTCTGTCACCCCACCATCTATTTTTAACGTCATTCTTATCAGAGGAATCCTAAGTGAGACTGTGTCTCCTGCTAACTCAGACCCTCAGCATACAGGCCAAAAGCGTCACCACGCCAGCTAGCCTGGTTCTAGGGGTGCAGCCCCAGCCACCGGGCCACCTCACCTCCAGCCCTCTCCCCGACCCCACACCAGCCCTCTGGGCCTCCTCACTGGTCATTGAACATCTCTAATCTCCAGTTCCGAGAGCTCCAAGTGGAGCTAAATTACACCTGCATCAGAAGACAATTGTGAGGCATAGAGAAGATATGTTCAAAGTAGGTGCTCAGTAAATAATTGCTGTTAAAATTATTAATAGGCTATGCAACTAATTTTTCAAGTCAAGAAACATTAAGACTTAACCATTTCCCTTTAAAACGAAAAAAAAAGTCATTTCATTGTAAGTCAAAAGCTCACATTTTGAAGGTCATGAGATAATGTTAAAAAATATGGAGGCGGGGTGGCAAGATGAGGTTCTCCACCCGTGATAGACACGCTCTCCCTGCTACTCCAGGGCCGGACCTCAGATAATCAGGCCAGAGCAGGCGCACAGCCTGACCTGCTTCAATACGTGTGAGACATGTTGAGCCAAAAATTCCAGTTTTAAATGACACCTCTGGTGGCGCAGAACAGACCCAGCACCACCTGGCTTTTGTCTGCCAAGCCTCCGGGTGGGGCAACACAGAAATATCCCTCCGTCTGTCTAGAGCTGAACTTCTTAGCAGTGGAAAGGAACCTGTCTCTGAATGATGTACAGGCTTGTGCAGAAACCACACACACACCGATCGATGGTGTCTGGCACAGCAGGCACTTAATAAACACGAGGGTGGTGATGGGTAGGAAACAGGAAACTACGGGCCTCACCAGGTGCAAGTACCCGTAATCGGCCTCCTCTCATCTCCGTAAAAGCAAAAGGCACCCCGGCATATTCTTCTGCTCAGGTTGGCGATTTATCAAGAGCTCCATGGCTGGAAGCAGACCATGTTTGATGTGACGCTAAGCTAACGCCCTACCAATGTCTCTACATTATTAGCTCACCAGGAATTAGACAGTCTTCAGCAAGAATTTGCAGTGAAGACAAAAGCTTATAAAACGACGAGTTATTTCATTCGCTATCCTTTCGTCCTTCTTGAATAAATGCTGTCTCCTGAATACATGTAGCTCGCAGGTTACAAATGCACCACTACGTAATAATGTGCTGCTGGTTAAACTACTTCTTCCTCTGTGAACTGCCCCCCTGACATTCATTTAGCAGCTCCAGCATTTGAGAGGAGCCTAAGTGAAGCTCCTATCCCGGCCCAGTACCAACTCTTCCCCGCGACACATCCCAACTCCACTCAGCCATAGTGTACTCAGCACTAGAACCTTCCAGAATGTTTCACAAGATTATATCCTAGCTGCCTTCTTTTCAGCCTTATAGTCTTCTAAGAGGATGAGAAACTGAGCTCTTATTTTTTTTTACCCCAACTCGCGAGGCATTTGTTATCCCTGGAATCAAAGGTGAGACCTAAGCAACTTTTAATAAAATAAAGGAAAAGGAGAGCAGTTATCCCATTTCTAAGGTAACTGATCTTTTTACTAGAACTTTAACATATGGCTTTTACATATTTCAATATTTTCCCCGTTTACAATGACCAAATAGAAACATTTGCTAACGAGACTTCAGGATAGTCTAGGTCGGCACCGGGCTCAGAGGCCCAGGTGGGAGAGGGAGACGGGGCAAACGAAACGGACAGCATGGATGATCAGGCAGGGTTCAAAGCAAGCTCACGGCTCACAGTTACAGTTGAAACTTGTTTGGCAAGGTGGCTTACACATATTCTTTTAAAAAACATAACAAAACAAGAGCATTTTCTTCTCATGGACTTTTATCTGAGTGCAGACATTTGATGGCATAAATACTCGACTTAGCTCAAGCTGATAGCGTTTCATGTTTCTTTCAGAAATGTTCATCTCTGAAACCTTTATATTGGGTATATACCCTTTAAATTACATTGCAAAACACCCAGTTATGAAATATATGCCAAATGTTCTCTTTAATCACTTAAAGCTCCAAGTGAAGAAAATCTGTTTGTCGTTAAATATCTTGAACATGGGATAAGCAAGAACACCTTGAAATAATGCTTAACTAATCACAAAGCAACTATTCTGCAGTAGATGGGCGAACCACTAATTAGACGGAGGGAAATAAAACTGTCATGGTGGGATAAAAGGATAAAGAGAAATAAGCAGTAATTACTGCCTTATCTTCAGTGGTATCAGACATGGCTCAGTGACAAGAGGGGAAAAGCCACGGGGCTGAGAGTAAATACCTGCACTCATACATCAGAACTTGGAGCTAAACAGCACTCAGGGACAGCAACAACATCTCAAGGGCGCGTTCGGAGGGGAAAAGGGACCGTAAAAAGGGGGGAAGGGTGCTTTACCTGGGCACGCAACAAACTGAAGAACAGCATCACTTGGCTACTTCCTTAAATGTTTAAACATTTCCAAGCCAGATTTAAAATCGCTGTTTACTACTGACTAGGTTACTAAGGACTGGGGGAGACTGCTGACTAGGTTACTAAGGACTGGGGAGCACTGCTGACTAGGTTACTGAGGACTGGGGGGGAATGCTGACTAGGTTACTGAGGACTGGGGAGGCTGCTGACTAGGTTACTGAGGACTGGGGAGCCCTGCTGACTAGGTTACTGAGGACTCAGGGCGGGGGGGGGCGGGGAGGGGCTGCTGACTACTTTATTCTTTCCAAAGCTAGTTCATACACTTAACGCATTGTTTGTGGGAAACGAGTAAACTCGTCATAGCGCTTTTTATACCACTTTGTAAGCGGGCATTTTCCCGCCAAATCGTGTCATAACAACGAGGTCTCTATACCTGAGTTAAAGCGCTATGACGAGTTTACTCGTTTCCCACAAACAATGTGATACCAAAGCGCGGGAGTTAACTCAGGTATAGAGACCTCTTTGTTACGACGCGATTTGGCAGGAAAATGCCCGCATACAAAGTGTTAATATGTGAATGGTGCCAATAAGTGTTAACAGTTTGCATTGTAAACTTTAAAGTTTGGAGCAACTTACATTTTTTTGCTTGGAATGATCTTGTGTCCTTCTCTGAACCAGGTCACGTGAGGTCGGGGGCAGCTGGTGATGGGCAGCAGGCTGAGAACCGCTGCCTGGCCTTGAGGAACCACTGTCCGCTGGTCTGTAGCCATGAAATTGCCCATATCTGCAGAGAAAAATCAGAACTCTTATGGTCTAGCAAACTTGCTTGAGAGGGAGACCAGACATGGCAACAGCTGTGTTTGATAGCAAAGCCTCCAGCCCAGCTCTAAGCCACAGGACCAGAGACACAGCGGTGCTGACGGCGCACGTCGGGTGTGAGGTGAAGCACCAGGCCAGGCGCCAACTCGCCAGCAGGGCTCCCTGGTCTGTATTGCTGCTACAATGCAACGAGATGCTTCTAATACTTTAGTAATGAAGTAACTTGTGGATATTAACACTGAAATACACTGTTGGAAAGCATCCCGGTGCCACATGAAGTGGTTTCAAGGAGCTCCAATAACGAGCTTTGGACACTGCCCACTCCCAAAGCTCTCAAGCTAGTTTGACCCAGGCACCCGCCGCTGCCCTGCTCAGTTCCCACCTGTCTTCCTTTCTGGGGTGACTGTCTCCATGACAGATCTTTTGGAAGACACATGTTTTAACCACCGATTCATTTTTAGAGGGTTCTCCAAACCCCATACCGTTGACTTAGTTTGGGGCAGGTAGGTTTTGTGCCAGTCTTTGTGCTACTGGTTATTAACATTTAAAAAATGGGGTCACGGGGAAAAACACAGCCATTAGAATATGGGTATAGTTGGCCAGTTTTTAAATTAGTAACATTTGACATTTTTAAAAAATTTCCATATTATGATTAGGTAGAGATACATATTATGATTAGGTACAGATATATATATATATATATATATATATATGGCATATATATATGGCATAGATGGCATATATACTATATTTTTGTATGAATGTATCTAAATTTGGAATAGTCCATAGAAGATCTCTATTATCAATGGATTTTTTATTCAAAAGAAGCTATTTCCTATCTAGCAAGCAGCATTTAATATTCTAGGAAAAAAATAAACTAATGAAACAGAATAGAAAAACATTCACGGTTATTTTAAAATAAAATCTGTTATCAAACAAGTAGAAAGAGACATAAGAGAAAATCTAAGAGCTAGAGATGAAGGATAGAAACAAGGATATAAATAATTAAGCAAGAAAATGTCTACAGTTTAATTTTATAAAATAGAATTTAATATATTATAATAAATTCTAAGCTGTTAACTTATTCAAATATGTTTTGGCTATGATTTTACTTATTATGTTTCCAATTATTCAACTGAATCAAAGTTCTGAATTATTCTGCAGACAGATTTAGCTGAGTGACTTCACCACCATGACTGAGAAAAATGTATGCCTTCCTAGTAATTAAAAACATAACTAACCACGTATTAGCACCTGCACCTCAGTCGACACTCATGATCACAGTAGCATGACGAGAAGTCACCTAAGAGAGGAATGCTGCAAACCACAGGCCCTGAGTGGGGTCAGCATGACAAAAAGCAATGACTGTCACTACTGTTAGCACAGTCCAATTTCAGAGCTCCTCAGAGTTCTCTAAAATCTATTGTTACACGTTAGTATGCAATTTAAAATTTCACAACACCTTTTGCTTTCCTTTAAATGAAGAGACATTTTGGTAGTAAATTCAAAATATGATAAAGTAGGCAGGCCATTTTAGAAGGAGCCTACCTGTCACAGATTTTGGATGAGAAAAGTATGAAATGCTTTGCATAAGTCAACTGAACACTACACTAAAATTCAAGCTCCCTGCATTTTGACAACTCCTTCAGTTACTTTCAAAAGTTTCATTCTCCCAAATGGGTCTGCCCAACAGAATTAATTCAATCACCACAACTTTAATGCCATCTGGCACATTACTATCCTTGTACTTTCTGTTGTGCAGCTAAAGGGCTTCTAAACAAGTCATCATTGGAAAGAACTGATGACAAATTGATGAAATTTTTTATTCTAAAAACATTTGAATCTGAATATAATGAAAGCTAAGAGCAGCTAACTAATTCATAAAACAGAAGGCATCTTTGTTCTTGTTTTTTTTTAAGTCCACCACAGTGCTTATTGGGATCTTAATCTGTTGAATTGAAAAAGTGGCATTTACCTCATTAGCCCCATCATCACCATCGGACCCGCTACACAGGCTATTTACTTATCTCTTAAGCAGTTTTAGCAATTATTCTCTGCCAAATAAACCCGAGACAGAATCTCAGCCCCTCAATGGTTAGCAGGGATTCTGATCAGCATTCCCACACTTTCTCGTTAGCTAACTTTTGGGGATCTTTCAGTGTACACATACATGCGACTTGGACTTCCGATCTTCTCTGCACTAGAGCTCCCATTCTGTTTCGCACCACGCAGCGGTAAAAGCCAGCGTCCTGCCTCTGCAAAGACGTAATGATATACCTGCCAAGTACGGAAAAGAAGTGTTAGTTGTTCCATGTCTAGAGCAGCCCCGGCATCTCATGTGGTAGGTAGGTGCCCAACAAACACACCCTTTCTTGGTAAACTCATATCTGCGCAATCTTTCCCGGACCAACACACTTACTGCAGTTGCAACTTATGAGATTATTTGATCGCTATCTGTCTCCACATCTAGGCTCTAAATGTTAATGCAATTGGTTCTAGATCTGTCCTTTTCATCAGCGAACCCCTGGTGCCCAGCACATGCTAGGCACACAGGAGATATCACTCACAACTGGTTGGATGAGTGAGAAATGATAAACAGCTAAAAATCATTGTACTTAAACTAGACCTCTCAATACAAACATTTTATAATCCTATCTCAGATTTTCTAAAAATTATTTCTAGAACCGGCAACAGTCTTAACAGAGTGCGTTGTGTCATTTTTTTATAAAAGTTTAAACAACGCTCTCAGGATGAGAGGCAGGTGCCACTGAGGAAAAAAAAGCTGTGACATCATGACATAAGTCCCCTCTCCACTCACTGTTGCAGACATCTCCCAACACAATTTATAAGCTTCCTTTTCTTACTTCTCCACATATGGCCCGACATCAATTTTGAAAACTTTTCGGATGGTTGAAAGGTCATTTCATTTGTATTTCCCATTCCTGTGACTATAAGTAATCGCCCTTCAAATCAATGCCTTTCGAAAAACTTCAGTAAAATTATATAGGGAAAAAAGTTAGATAGATACAGTTTTCATAAAAGCCTTATTTTAGGTTCACTGTTGGTTTTACAACTTAGAACGTTTTGAGATCCATGAGCAAGGAAGATATATAACCAAGGAGTTCTTGAAGTGAGTTTTACAGCTCTGGAGCCCAAGCCTTTCACACTACATAAGAGAATAAGTACATTAGTTGGTTTCTAGGCCATGTGCACAAATATATCAAGAATAAGGTTTAAGGCTTGGATGCTGTTCACAAATGGAAAAGTATCTAAGAAGGGGAGAGCTAAAACCCAATGGAATGGTAGCCTATTTTCCAAAAAAGAGAAAATGCAGTGATGATATCCTTTACTAAAAAGATGTTCCAGCAATAGTTGTCTTCAATTTAAAAATACTTTCTCTTACAAAGTACAATCAGAGTAACTTAAAAAAAAAATCAGATAGAAGCCACCAGGTATGGTATGCTTTTTGCTCAGGTCCTAAGCATACCTTAAAATCACTTAAATTCACTAATTGCTCATCTTTTTAGTCAAGTATGTCCAATTAGTCAATCTGAAAAAGGAACTGATAGGCATAATTTTAAGTGAATGAAACATTTGGACAATATGGCCAATTCAGTATTAAGCAAATATTAATCAAAGTATGTTTTCCCACTGATAACCATCTTGAGATACTATGGCAAGATTAATAAAATCTTTTATGAGAAAAATATTGCTGAGTTTTAATCTTCAAAAGTTGATTTTTTTTCTGAGTTATGGTTCATCTCAAATAAAAAAAAATTAATTAGTGAATATAATCAGAATACTATCAAACTGAACACAAAGAGTCAGTGCCATTTATTTAAATTACAAATAAGATTAGAAGAGGGGCATTTAAACATTCTATATTGTGACTGTAATAAGGGGTTTTGAGATTAGGTCAAAACAAAGTCAAACGTTTCTGGAAAAGGAATAACCAAGTTATTGGAGTACACGTTTGAAAAACTATAAGAACAGTTTCATCATTGCAACATAACCATATTTATATAATTGTTAGTCATTCTGTTTTTCCTTTTTGCAGTATCCTAAATAGATTTTAAATTCTTATGAATTTCTATAGCAATCCTATATACTAATGCACAAAAACAGCACTGCTTACAAAAATGGGAGAAACATCCAAAATTGAATATTAGGCATATGCTTTTGGTACCATCTCTTTAGTTTTATGTTTCACCAGGGGAAAAATCTATACAAAAAAGTTGCAAAGTGCTCCACCTATTATAGGGGTTCCTACCAAATGATCTTCACCTAACAGATGGGAATAGTCATTGCAGGCCTATTGTTTATAAACACACATTTTTAAGCAGAGAAAGTTTCCTAGCTCTTTATAAGACACCATGATACAATCTTGGCACCATATGCCATGGAAATACGGAAAACACTGCGGGTTTCCAGCAAAACTGGCAGGGGGTGTGCATTTGCTGGGCCGCGCCAGAGTTCTACTGGACTGACAGCATGCTTTCCAGGGCCAGTGCATCATCCAGGATAGCACAGGAAAGGGAACCCAGCAAAATCACAACACTAAGGGCTTAAAAGTCCATTTCTGCTGAGTAGGAGAGCACTCCAGGTCTGCACTGCCACTCAGAATGGACCAGAATGGTTCCAGGATTTCTCTAGGTCCATTCCAGCCCGTGATCAGCTGCTTGACTAGCCCTTCCAGAGGTGGACATTGGCTCAGTCAGTGGCATTCAGGGTCTCGTGTTACCAGCAGCAGGACCCTTGCTCAAATAATAAGAAAAATAGCTTGTTCCACTAACCCATTTGTATGAAGTCCTTATAGAAACTAGCCGACTGTCCTCTTGGAGGGGACTCTAATGGATTGGACTTTATAGCAGGTACAAGTGATGCTGAGGTTCAGAGAATGGACTCATTCTGATCATTTTGTGCTCCAAACACCTTTGGGCTCCATTTTTTCATTTGTGCCACTGCTGTGGCCACCAGTTCCACCAGCCCTGACTGGCTCTATCCAGGTGCAACTAGCATGGCAGCACCCTGCATCAACCCCTGCCTCATACTTCTTGCTCCCTGTTCTGAGGGGTCTCTGGTGCCACAACCAGAGTATTTACTTGGGTACTTGCATGAGTAACTAGAAACGAGAGCTACTGGCCATGGGGCCATAACTCATCAGCTGAATACGGGAACTCAGAGATAAATATTTTCTTCTTTCACCTGTCAGGTTGGACAGTTCTGAGGTGCATTTCACAATGCACACCTATAAGGACCATCAATTTGATAATGACCTTGACTTGGTTTTGTGTTGGTTGTATTGGTTTTTTCTCCTTCCCCGTTGTGTTGCTCCTGCCTTTACTCTTGTGCTTGAGAATACAGGCCCAAACAGACCACCTCATGGAAACCTTTGTCTCCAGCACTGTCTTCAGAGAATTCCAGGTTATTAGATAATAAACCTGTCTGATTTGTTGCAAATATTTTCCTGGTTTATGCCTTTTAATTTGTAACAATGATTTGAACATACAGACATTGCAAAATTGTGTATGGGTATCGTGATCTGTTTTGGTGAATTTTTCCAGTGCTTTTTATACTTTATCCTGGTATGTTTAGAGCTCATTAACCTTTGTTTCCTATGGTTTGATTTTTTAATTTAACTCTTAAATGCATCTGAAATTTATTTTGGTGTTTGGTTTAAAATGAAGACCTATTTTGAATATTGTTTCCAAATAACTGATTTCTTTACCATTGGTTCTAATGCTCATTTGATTATATGTATTTTTATGTATATGACGGTCTAGTTCAAAACTCTCTTCTGGAATACTTCTGTTTATTTCTGTTACCACTAACATGCCATTTTTTATTAATAATTACTAATTCTAATATGCTCCTGGAAGGGAAAATTCCTCCCCGTCATTCAGCTTTTTGAAAATTAGTTGCAATTCTTTTCTGTTTATATTTCTACATGAGCTTTAAAACCATCTCATCAATCAAGTTACTCTCAGAAGAATCCCACTGAGATTTTCATTGAAATTAGGCTAAACTTCTACAATAATTTCAAAGGAACTGACATTTTCAGTGTTAAGATTTCCTATTTAGGATTCTCTTTTATATCTCTCAGTGAGGTTTACTACTTTTCTTCATGTAGGTTCTACTCATTTCTTATAAAGGTGATTCCCAGTATTTGATAATTTTTATTGATAGTGTGAATTTTTTTGTCTTTTTATAAGACTTAAGAAAAAGTAACTTTTCCCTTAGCCAGTCCTATTTTTTACTGGGATAAAAAAAGAATAAACATCCATCCAATTTCTATTGTTACACTGTCCTAGAGAATGAAGTGCAGAGCCAGGCCGCAAAAGGAAACTACAATATTTCCACAGTTCAGAGTAGCATTCATTCCTCCTTTGTAACAGTGAGTGCTGTGCCTCACCAGCATTAAGACATTTTTGGCTTACATACACATACTTCGACTATAACTACAAGATAATTTTGATCCCCAAGTAGAAAATAACTTGGAACAAATGTTTTCTAGAACGAGCAGATAGGCATCTGCCTATGACACCTGTGCAGACTTGGTTTGGTCACTTGGAGTGCTGTCATTTGCCAGTGTGGTGACCTGTGCTGAAATGTGTAAATAAGCCTCAATATGAATAATATAACGTGAAACTCACTGGAATTCAGTGTGCAGTTTAACCGGAATACAAGCAGCAAAGAAAATGCTATTGTTATTTTGTGAAAGCTGCAGAAGGTGAATTTACATTATTTGCTCTGTTATAGGGTTAGCATTGTCATAACTGACACCAAAGTGGGAGGATTCAACTTCAGGTAGGAAACAACTGCCGTTTTCATAAGGTATCCATGGTTTTCAGTCTGAGACTTGGAACAGTCTCATGAAGGTTAATACATGAAAGCTGAAGGTGCTCATTAGAAGTGCGGAGATGAAAGAGTAATTGGAAAAACTAACATGAGATTTTCAGCCAGGTTTTGTATCTTGAAAAAAGTGATGACAAAACACAGTGGACCCTTGCTAGTGCGTCTCAGTGTCTGAAGCCCTCGGGGAACAGGACATAATTGATCACGTCTACCTCAAACCATTCTTGCTTCAGAATAACCGGTTTCTTCTTACAGAGTGCCCAGCAAAATGGGAGTGAAGGCTCCACCTTATTTCAATGGTCCCTGTATAATGAGCCACCCCTCAGTCCTGCTCTCTACAACCAGCGACAATTTGTCCTCTGGATTATCCTGAGTGTATCGAGTCAGCAGGTATATTCGCTGTGCAAACAGCAACACAAAGAGTTGTGTCGCCTCCAATATTTTTAAGTTGACTCCAAAATTGTTTTATTGTAAGCTAAAATAGTTATGTATATAATAATGGCACAGTGTATGTTTTGGCATGTTAGAAGAAAGCTGTTACACCATTGTTTTCAATGTACCCAGTGGGATCTAAGCGATATAGTGATTTCAATATCCACACAACCCATTTTTTAATGAGCTCTGTAACAGATAGAACTTTCATATTGTTTCTCTTTACTCTTTGAACTGCAGCATTAAATCTGTTTACCCCACAGAATCTTATTCTAATGTAACATAGTTTTATGCCTGAAAGATACTTATCGATTGCCCATACTTCTCTGAAATACAAATATACATATAAATAGCAATTTAAAAAGAATTTCCTTTGACCAGAAGATTCTAAGTGCATAAAAAATTGCTTCTGGATTCCATGTTCACCATTAATCAAAACAGCATAAATGTATTACATATTTTGAAGAATAATGATTAAACATTAAAAATTTAGAAAGGAAATGTGTTTCTTAATGAGATGGAAGTGACTGATATTTTTTTCAATTACTTTACATTTCATTGAATGGAAAGTTATTTACTACTAGAATGAACAGAATTAGATAAAAATTAACAACAAAAAGAAGAGAAAGTATTGACTGTATATTTGCATACAGTTCATTTAAATCTAATGAATACACGGAAGAAATAAACAAGTAGAGAAATAGTTGATGCATAGTAACAGCAAAAGACACTGAAGTAATAAAACCAGATACGGATGTAGAATATCAAATCATCTTTTTCTGCCAGAGTTAATGAAAGTGTGTTCTGAATGAATGTTTGAGAAACTAGAACGCCCTGACCTTCCTTCGGTGCATGTTCCTTCGATGTCCGGACGCGACACTGATCTGACGGATGTAACCAGAACTTTTTACCCCTCTCCTCCCAGACAGCTAACTGAGGTCTCACCCAGGCCTTCTCATTTCTGAGGAGGGTGAAGTGCAGACACAGTGTGCTTCATAGAAGAATATTTCTCAATCTGCTTGTTCCCTCTACCAAGTCTTGAATATTCAAAGTCTAATATATGGAGACGGATAAGCCCCAGAGAGTTGCTGTGAGCTGCTCCTGGGCAAAACGAGGTGCCCTCACCTGCCTCCTTTCCTGCACATGCTCTCTTTGCCCTGCTCTCACTGAACGCCCCCTGGGGCCCAGTAGGGTCTGTGATGATAGTTCCAGAAGGGAAAGGTAAGTGGGTAACCGAAAACTGGTACAGCTCTCGCTGCCCACCTACACTACATACCTAAATGGAGAAAACCCCAAGCGTTCAAAATACCCCGTATCTGGAATCATATTTGGCCCTTAAAAGTCAGCTCTTCTATGGGGTGTCTCCAAGGGCCTGCTATTCTGTTTTAGCCAAAAACTGTGAATTCTGTGTTTGCCTCGCACCCCCAGATAGATTCCCTGGAAGGCTCAGCCGGGAGCTGTGCCCTTCTGTTGTGAAAGGGGAGAACCAGCACGTGAGGGCAGGAAAAGGGCCCAGCAGGCACCGATGCGGAGGTGTGCGCTCTGCTTTTCTGAGAGCAGCTCACTTTCAGAAATGTGCCAGTGGACATGGCTCCTTTGCCATGACCCATAGTGTAGACCCCAGTTTGAAGACCACCGTGACAGACCATGCACATTACTGCTTTTTTTTATTAGGAAGAACATTCTGGACTCTTTTGAAATGTCATTCCTTCCTTCCTGGGGCACCGAAACATGATGTCATTTAATTTTTAGGAGATGCCTCTGAGGCGGGTTTTGTTAACCCACTTTACAGATGAGAAAAGTAAGATCACTCTCGTTAGATAACATGTCCAAAGTCACACAGATAATAAGTTGAATAGAAGTGTCTGAACTCAAGTCATCTGCCATTAAAACTGATGACTCATATGGTTCTCATTTCTCAGTTCACGTTTTTTTCTTACCTAGATCCCTCTCACAAACCAAGCCTATAATGTCACCTTACGATAATATATAACCTGCGGCATCCCCCACCTCAGTCCTCGTGCTCTGTCGCCAGCATCGTCCTCACTCCTGTACCCCGACACCTAGCCCTGGCAGGAGTCCCATTAATACCCACTTTTGCTGCTGAATACAGAGGCTCTCCTCAGACCACTCTCCCATGGTTCCATCTTTCCCATCCCGACTCTACAAGTCAGCAGGGAAGTTTCCGCTGACTTCTCAGAGCTGCAGATGCTACTGACCTAAAGATTAAAGATGTCTGTTTAAACATTTATGCTCCTCCAATATGAACAATACGGGCGGTGTGGCCTGTTGCCACAAGAATGCAAATTTATCATCCTAAAGCTGTTATTTGCATTCCTCTGCAACCATAGCTTTGGTCTGGTAATTTCACTAACGGGCTTAGTTTTACAAATACAATGATAGACTTCCTAGGTGTAAATACAACCTAATCAGAATAGTAAATCCCATTCTAAGTACATGTTCAAATGTATTCCTTTAATCCGTGATGCATTAGAAATTTGGTCCAATATCTTCACCTCTTGTGCTATTATGGTCCACAAAGCAAATATTCCGAACACACCAGCCTGCAATGGAACCCTGCTGCCAGCAGCCACTTACTTATACTCGCTGGTGTAAGCGGTGAGCTCAGTGTTGTCGTGCAGCCACCTGAACTCCAGCGGCCAGCTCCCCTCAGCAAGGCAGGTGAGGACAAGGCGGTTCCCCTCCAGGTGAGTCTGCGGCAGGCCTGGTTCCGTTTTAAAGTATGGCACAACGTCATCTGAAATATTCAAAAACCAAAAAGGAGAAAGAAAAAGAATGAACAGAGTACACATGAAAATGGCACTCATCCAATGAATCAATCACTTATTTAAACAGACCTAATTTTAAAATGTAGAAATGATGGGATATTTTGTCCAATTAAGTAACAAATAATGCTTGAGCCCCCCAGAAAAAGGCAATACCCTAGAGACAATTTCAAAAGGCTGAAAGCTCACTGACAGCAGCACTTGAAAGCTTCTGACAAGTTCATCCAGGCTATTTCCACTCATGATTAATACTTATCACAGGGGCATATTGGGCGATCCCTGCTCATGCAAGCCTGGGTGGCAACGAGGTATTATATTCTCACAGTAGCAAGAAGGGGCTATACCTGGGCTCTAGAACAGAAATGTCCTCACATAAGCTTCAGGTACTTAAAAAAAGTACAGGAAAACCTTGGATTGCGAGTAACTTGGTTTGCGAGTGTTCCGCAAGACGAGCAAACATTTCTAATACATTCTAACTTGGTAAACGAGTGATGTCTTGCAATACGAGTAGTTTGTTTCCGAAACGAATTATGCTCGCAAACCAAGGTATTACTGTAACTAGAATGAGCAAGATGAACAGGGATGCACACCAACACGAATTACAGTTGGCTTTCATCTCACACACGGTCTCTTTTAGGGACTTTCCATGGGCACAACACTGGGAGCCCATGTGTGTTCAGACAAACGGACACTACACAGCAACAAGAATGACTGCTGCACACAACCACAGCAACGCCGATGAACCGCACAGAAATACGTGGAGTGAAAGACGCCAGACAGAAAGAAAGGTTACAGAAGATGCTCCCAACCAAAGTTCATAAAAGTTCAAAACTAGGCAAAACGAATCCATGGTGTTTGAGGTTAGGATGTGTTACTTCTGGGGGGTATGGGGGGTGGCGGGATGTGACAGGTCTGCTTATGGAGAGCTGGCCAAGATCTAGTTCTCTATATGATTACATGGCGGCACTTGTGAATATTCACAGAAAATCATTCCATATATGACTTATGCAATTTTTGTATGTATGCTTCAGTAATTTAAAAAGTTTATAGGCAGGACACTTAGCTTCTAGTTCTAGTTCTATCACTAATTTGCTACATGACCCTGATTCTGTTTCTTCATCAGTAAAATAAACAGAATTAGACGACTTCTCATGTTTCTGATAAAATCCCCACTGCACACCTGCATGATCAGCTTCCTGTCTATCTCTGGGGCCTCCTGCCCTCTCAACTCACATTAACACTCCAGCCACGCTCCGGGTTTTACATCTGAAGCCAGGCTAAGCCCTTCCCCACCTGGAGGCTTGTCTCGCTCTGCGCATGCCAACTATTCTCATCCTTCCCGTTAACAAAGCTCTGTATTCCCATCACCTAGATCAATGCTAAGAACAAAGTAGATACTAACTAAATATTTGCTGAGTGAATAATACAATAACAATAACACAAATAAGAGCAATAGCCAGGATTCGGCATTTGCTATGTGCTGGAAACTGTTCTAAGTGCTTTATATGTATTACCTTATTTAACTCTCACAAGCCCTACAAAATAGATGTCATTATCATACCCATTTCCAGCTGGGGAAAGAGAGGCAGGGAAACTAAGTAACTTGCTCAAGGCCACTCAGACAGTAAGAGAAACAATTTGATATAACTCCAAATGTCGCAGGTTTCTCAGTAAGGAAACTTCCTTCTTAAGAACCCATATCTTAACTACTAATTTTTGATAAATTTGTGAAATTACTTAACTGGACTTAAATTAATGTATTTTTTAAACAAATTAAGCATCAAATAGCATATCAACAGTGTTAAAATTGGGACTGTATCTTTACCTTAAACTGTTGCACATATGGCTGGTTGCTTTTGTACTGACTATGTGGAATTTGAATATAGAGTTTATTTCCCGCTGTATCCATTGCTGGTATATTGATAAATGCAGTGTGACCAGCCTCTTACTAGTATTCACCCAAGCAAGTCAATGCTGAGTTGCTCTGGCGGGTGTGGTAAGAGCCCCTAGTAAGGACAAGCCTGGTCACCGAGAAGCCACGCAGGAGCTGACAGCTAGCCCATCAGTAGCGTCGTATCCTCCAATCACACCAGGTGACCCCTGAGCCCAGGCACAGGAACAGTGAGGGGCCTTGGGAAGAACCAAGGGCTGCACACAAGCAGCTGCGCAGGCAGGGGGTGGCTGGAGCAGGTGAGGAGGCCTCACGGGCAAGGTGAGCCCACAGCCGGGTGTCCACACCACCCTGTGTGACCATCAGGGCACCCACTGCACCTCACGAGTGTTCTTGTGAGGATACCGCATGACCACCCGGTTTACAGGCCTTCGTCTACAGTCCTGCCAGCAGTATAATGACAGTGATGGCTGGCTGGCATCCAAAAAGGACAGCAGAGAGCCTCGGAAGGAGTCAGCAAAGCTCATTCCGGCTGCAGTGGGGACAAGCAGGGAAGGGGGACCAGGGAGGCGGGAGCAGCCCAGTCAGGAGGCCACTGCAGTGACCAGGCAAATGCTCTGGAAGGGGACAGTGGGCTGGGCCCTGGTAATAGCAGTGACTTGATGGTGGCAATAGGGAGCAACGGATGGCTTCTAAACAATACTTATGAGGCAAAAAGGTTTAGTGATGGGCTGAATATGGGGCGAGGGACAGGGGACGTCAAACAGGATTCTTAGGTCTGTGAATGGCACAATCTCTGTTCAATAAACACACACTGATTCTATAATCAGCACTGCAAATAAACAAGAGTGAGACACAGCTGCTGTCCCCTTAGAGGTTAGAGTCCAGGGCTGACGCAGGAAAAGAAACAGTGACGTGTTAGTGTTGTGACTGAAAGATGTGTCACAGGCAGGGGCGCTCAATGCCTGTCCTGTTCCAGGGGTCCACCTGCTGTGCGGCCCATCACCTGCCCCAGGCCCATTCAAGCGCATTTTAGGTTTTGATGATCCACCACATGTCCAGTCTCCCTTGGTGACACGCTTCAGCTAAATCGTGCCTCTCATGGCCCAAGCAGTCCACTACAGCTGCACTGTAATGGCCACGGCTTCGACACCTTGGGGTTGACTGAGCAACAGGCTTGATTAATGTCCTGCCATTTGCACTGTATTTAATAACAGAAAAAGAAATGCCACTTCATATGGTGCCAGTGTCCTATAAGAATAAGTCATAAGAAATACATCTTTTGGAAAGAAAAATGCTTCAAGATAGACACTCAAGAATTTGAAATCGGTTTTACAGTTACAGAGCCTCATCAATTTAATATATTATGTCATGGTTTTGAATGTAAACGATACTATAATTCAGTTTTTCATAGAATTCATAGTTCACTAAACATGCCTCTACTATGTAGAAATTATGTTGGGTGCTGTGATCTAGTAGGAAAAGAAATCTCCACAAAGGATAGTTTCATACAGCTGCCAAGTGAGTGTCCTGCGATGCAAACGATTGTAGAATATGATTAGCGCAGGTGCTGACCTTCACCTGAGGAAGAAGGGCGGGCGGGTATGTCAACGCTCTGGGATCTCACGTGTCTACGCTCAAGTCATTGGCATCAGTATTTTAACGTACATGAACCCATGTGCAGAAGAACGCATTACCTCTCTGGGCCCAGCACTGTGGACCACTGGAGCATAACCAGTAGATCACAAAATTAAAAGGGGCATAAAGGTAACAAAAGTCAGTGCACTGGGGAGAGAAAGAGAGATGGAAGGATTAGTATTCAGGTCTCACAGACCCCTACAGAAGCATGTGATCTTTCTATGCCTTAAATGGAACAGAAAAAGTCTGAAAAGATCCATTAGGGTCAAAGTGATCGAGTTACATCTGAGATAAGATTATCAGACTCTGACCTGGAGAAAAGCCACTGGCCCACCTGATGCTCTCTGCAGGGTGTGTGCGTGTGTGCGTGTGTGTATGTTCAAATAACAATAGATCTCCAAACGAGAAGAAAGTAAGTATGCTTCTGTATCCTTACAATGGACATTTTAAGACCCTGGAATGAATAACTGAAGGAAACGAAAATCTCCATTTGCACACACTTTCAACAGAACATAAATCACCTGTGAGAGAGGTTCATCTGTCTGGGCCCCACAGATTTCAGGCCCGTCCAGAGGAGAGGGATGGACTGCATGTTCTCACAAGACAACATCCTAATTTTATGATGTAGAAGTCACTTCCCCAAATGGACTTCAGGTTTGCGGATGTAGCGGAAATGCATTTAACTTTACCTGTCCAATGTGAGGACAGCCTCCTGCTCATCTGGAAGGATCCACAATACATCTGCCATAGTAAGAATCATTGACATGAGGAAGCTGGGGAATGAGATGCTTGGAAGCGGAGCCATGGCCTACGAGTCCAGGTTTTCCTGCGAGCAGGAAGGGTGAATGCGCCGTGGGTGTCAACCATCAGCTCCAGCACGGAAAACGGAGGACCTAGTCCCAGAAACCCCTTCATGCATGGCAGAAGGGGCAGGAATCAAGTACTCATTTGTCAAGAAAGTCAGATTTAAACTATTCTTGTGACTCTGCTGATGAGAAAGCTTTGGGTGTGAAAATCATAATCTGTTCACTAGCTTCCCCCTTTCTCCCCCATTGTAAAGTGATAATGAATAAAGAAATAATAATCAACTTCCACTTAGCAGAGGACTCAACCGTACCCCAAACAAGGGGTCTGAGGCAGACAAACCCAACCTGTTCTGGAAAAGCAGCTATGGAATGAATGTATTATGCCCCGAACGGGTACCGTCCGTCCGCCAGGTGAGAGCGGTGGCCAAGCAGGAGTGACAGCGGGATGGCGCTGTCAGCGGAGCGGGCCCCCTGCACATGAACTCTGCCTTCTCGGCAGCTCAGTCACCCAGGGCGACTAATCTTTTGGTGTGAACCACTAATCTTTCTTTCAAAACTTCTTTTATATCAAATTCAGACATTTTCATGCCCCAAGCTTATGAATTTACCACTAACGGAAAGTTGCATTTATCAAATC